GTTTCTTTCCAAAGGATAGTTTTTCCTGGTGTTTCCTTTGGATATTTCCTTTGGTTTTTCTTAAGTTGCCAAAAAAGAAAATTTTTAAAATTATTATCAACTGGTTTATAAAAGTAACTAAAATTCTTAATCATTATATATTACTTTACTAAGTTTCTCAATAATCAGCATAACACTTGCAATTAATCTAATTTATTGTTAGTTGTATTAATATTGACTATTATTTTATTTTAAATATTATAGAGCACAACTCCTTGAATACTTTTAGGCAATAATAGTTATATGGAAGTTTCCTAAATATATCTAATTTAATCATCAAATCAATAAGCAATGCCAAGTTTGATAGTGATAATGTTAATCTTTTGAAGAAGTAAGTTATATATTCTTTTTTTAAGAAATTATGAAAAGAAAATTATTATTTTTTAATATGGTCCTTAAGAAAAAGAAGTTAACTGGCTAGAAAGGTGATATTATAAAGACAGAGTTTTCAAAAGAAAGAGATACTTAAAAAGAAAAATCTTTAAAAGAAAAGAAAATTTAACTTTAATAAAAGAGAAGAAGATAAGGATTTGAAATATAAAAAAATATATAAAAAAGATAAAAGAAGATAAAAAAGAGAGAATAAAAAAATATAAGAAAAAGGGAATAGAGAAAAGGGAAAGACAGACAAAAAAAAAGTAAACAACTCAAAAATTTTTTAAAAAGGAAAATTTCAAGTATAAAAAAGGAAGTGAAAAAAAGTTTTTTTTGAAGAAGTATTTAATTTAATAAATATAATAATAATAATATAAATAATTTTTATAATATAATAAAGATAAGAAAAGTACAAAAGAACAAAATAAAAAAAAATTATTATAGGCCTTTTCTTATCAATTAAAGAATAAACATGATTTTAAACTTAAATAAATTTTAATTAAAAGTTTTATTTTATTATATTAGTTGTCTTAAAGGTTTTTAAATTTTTGAGCTAAGGCTTACTTGTGATAAGTAAATCATTTTTTCTTGACAAAAATTACCATAAAAGAAAATTTTTAGCAAAACAAAATATAATTTAAAGAGTTTTTAACTTGATTTGATTTGATTAATTAATTATTTTTTTTTTTGATAAGCATTGAATGCAAGGTTTTTATTAAACTTTGATTGTTTTATTTTTTATTATTATTAAAATATTAAAATAATAAGAATAGATAAATTTTCTTATTTCATAGAAATTTTAAATAAACAAATGGTTTCTTATCTTTTAAATTAATAAAATAAATAAAAAAATAGGCAAATATAGATTATTTTATTAGATAATCACATGATTTGTGTGAAAAATCGAGTATTATTTTATATTAGCTTAAAACGATATCTGATTTTCTGATATTAATACCAGATGTAAATTATTTCTTTCTACCATCTACATTATGAATTTTATATCCGTCCCAACAGTAGAAAATGGAACATGCCCTGATTCACCTAATAGCGTTCCTCTTAATTGGTCGAATGTTGGTTATGCCTCCATGTTCATTATGATTAATGGTATTTAAAAAAAAAATCCTTTCTGCATTCGCCAAGATCGAACTTTGGGACCTCAATAACTCTTTAAATGACAGGAATTGTTTCCATGTCACTTGGTTTACACTTGGAAAAATCTTTGTTCATTAGCTCAGTCCGTTGCGTAGTACAGCTAACTATTATGGTGAGATATTCTTATTGTATTGACGCGTCGCACTTATTTCAAGATTAATTTATTCCGATTTATTATAAGGGTATGATTCTCGAGGATGTCTTCAAAGCACGGCACCCTCTCATTATTATGGCAATGGTATGGACTATCACGTGATGTAAATCGAATATTGTATCTCTTATATTATAGAATTCTATTTAAAAAGGTAATCGTGCTTGTTTTACTCGGTGCAAATGAAATCGTGTTTAACAAGAATAAAAGAAGACACGCAAGAATGGTAATGCGACATTAATAATAATATATTTTTGTATCTTGTTTTTGATGTTGATCTAATTCACCTTTGTAGTTTTTATCAGTTCTTGTGTCATTAGCTATAAGTACTATAACAATTGGCATCATCGGTAAAGTTTATATCTTGCATTCAAAGTTTGTCTTCGTAATCTCTCAAAAAGCTTACATTTTTTATTGCTAAGGTTCGCGTTTTGCGCTGGCTCAAGATCCCTTTTGGGAACCCCAGTATGATTAACAATTTATTATTTACTGGATTTTTATAAAATTGTTTGAACGTTCATTTAGTTCTTTATAATTTAATAGGATATTTATTCCAACAATGGGAATGCTGCTTGGAAATAGCATGTCAGCAATAGCTGTTGGTAATTCTTATGCTTTAGAGCAATTCAGGTGAGGATGAAACCTTGTTTATCACTAAATTGTTCTACATTATTCTTATAGTTTTAAATTATTTAGTGGACAAAGAGAAAAAATAGAAATGTATCTGGCGTTTGGTGCCTCTAGATGGGAGGCTGGTCGCCCAGTCGCTATGGAGGCAGTAAAGATGGCTATGTTACCAACTATTAATTCCATGAGGTTTTATTATACGTGATAACTGATTAAATTGAGTTTGACAAATTACTGATTGAAAATTTTTAATTATAGTATAATCGGGTTGATATCAATTCCAGGTAAAGAATCAATTTCGTATATGAATTGTTTGATTTTCAGGGTATAAGATGCTCATTGTATGACTATTACAAATATTAAGGCATGATGACTGGACAAATAATTGGCGGTGCACCTATATCGGATGCTGTCAAATATCAACAAATAATTATGTTTATGATTTCTTCCTCAACAGCGTTAAGTGTTTTAATATCGATTTTTGTAAGTTATTAAATTTTCCTTCTATTCCATCCATTTTTTCGATAATGCTCATTAACTCCGTTTTTTCAAGACATGTGTATTCACATGTATCGATAATCTACATCGCTTACGTATAGAGCGAATAATAACCACCAAACCTTGGATCTATGCAAAAAAGGATGAACTGGTTGATGGTGTCAAAAATATATTTATCGGAGTTAAAAATTACATATTTTGTTGCTTCATAAGAAATACGTCTTCTAGTGATGACAGTGAAGCTCAAGTCTTATTAAATGTGCGTTAACCTTAAATGCGGAGAATTATATAATTTATTTAAAATAATTGAGATCTTATGATATTTCAATGTTTTATCTTTATGAATCAACTATTCATAAGCGAAAAAAAATACTAAGTATTGAAAAATGAATAAAAAAGTTAAATTAATGAACTTTTATTTTTTAATTTGTTACCAAGCCAAGCTGATTTTTGTAAATTATATATTAAATGATAAATATAATTAATATACAATAAATCTTATAAAGTAAAACAGAGTTATTTTTGGTTAATACCTCTAAATATAATTTAAGAATAAATATATTGATATAATATTAATGTATAAAAAAATTTTGCAACAAGTTATAAATGTTTTTTTAGAAATGTATTTTCTATAAGCAAAATTAACAAAAAAACAATTATCATTTTATTTTTTATATAACTGTTTTCAAGTTTTTAATAAAACAAAATTAAAAGTAAAGCAGAAATTTAAAAAATATTTTTTTCAATTATAAATTAAACTAAATTACAATACTGTATTTTTTAAAAATAAAAATAAAAATAATATAATTTTAAATTAAAATAAACTTTTTACTATGGAATATGAGTGTGCCAAATTCTTTTTATAACTTGAAGACCAATTTATATAAAATAACTACAATACCTTTATATAATAACTCAAATACTTTATTAACTTTATTCTATACTTGGATAAGATTTTATTTAAATACTTAAATAATACTGCAGTTTTAGATACAAAGTACTTTATATAATACAGTTATTTTTTTTCTAATTTGAGTTCTAGTAGTAGTTAGAATTAATGTTATATATATTAAACTATATTTTTTTCCTATATTTGAGTTCTAATAGTAATTAAAAAAATTAATATTGGGTATTAGATAAAAATCCAATTTTTATTAATAATATTTAATTAAAAAAATGTCTATTCAAATATTTAAACAAACTATTTAATTAAAGTATAGTATAAAACAACCTTCTAATTTATTTTTTTATTTTTTTTTTTTTAGTAGGTAAACATCATTTCTTTATTTGGTTTGTATATTAAAAGTATACATCGTGAAAGAAACAACATCTCTCATTTG